ATCAGTCAGGAGCTGAGAAAAGAAAATGAAAGTTTAATTTCTTCGTCCAACTGATAACTGAAAATTAGGTTTGAAAGAATGAGATCTACCAATTTTTAAATCTTGAAGACCATAGTAACCAGAAATAGCCAGTTTGGTTTGCATGCTTTGGATAATATTCCTTTAATAACTCAGCATAAAATGAAAGATATATCTATATAAAGTTACTCTCCCCCTTATTTATCCTGGACACTTAAGGCAATATTAAAAAATTTGAAAAATTTGAAAAGGCTCACATTTGTGAGAGCCCGGCAGGACAAATTATGCTGAGGGGAAACCAGCACGGGCTCGTGGCAGGCAGATCGTGCCTGACCAATCTAGTCTAATTTTATGACCAGGTTACAAAACACCTGGACACAAGAGGAGGGGTGGATGTCGTATACTTAGACTTCAGGAAGGCCTTTGATACGGTATCCCACCCCATACTGATGAACAAGTTAAGAGGCTGTGACTTGGATGACTACACAGTGTGGTGGGTGGCGAATTGGCTGGAGGGTCGCACCCAGAGAGTTATGGTGAATGGGTCGGCTTCGACCTGGAAGGGTGTGGGCAGTGGGGTCCCGCAGGGCTCGGTCCTTGGACCGATACTCTTCAATGTCTTCATCAGCAACTTGGACGAGGGAGTGAAGTGTACTCTGTCCAAGTTTGCAGATGACACAAAGCTATGGGGAGAAGTGGACACGCTGGAGGGCAGGGAACAGCTGCAAGCAGACCTGGACAGGTTGGACAAGTGGGCAGAAAACAACAGAATGCAGTTCAACAAGGAGAAATGCGAAGTGCTGCACCTAGGGAGGAAAAATGTCCAGCACACCTACAGCCTAGGGAATGACCTGCTGGGTGGCACGGAAGCGGAAAGGGACCTTGGAGTCCTAGTGGACTCCAAGATGAACATGAGTCGGCAGTGTGATGAAGCCATCAGAAAAGCCAATGGCACTTTATCGTGCATCAGCAGATGCATGACGAATAGATCCGAAGAGGTGATACTTCCCCTCTATCGGGCACTGGTCTGACCGCAGTTGGAGTACTGCGTGCAATTCTGGGCACCGCACTTCAAGAGGGATGCGGATAACCTGGAGAGAGTCCAGAGAAGGGCCACTAGTATGGTTAAGGGCTTGCAGACCAAGCCCTACGAGGACAGACTAGAGAAACTGGACCTTTTCAGCCTCCGCAAGAGAAGGTTGAGAGGCGACCTTGTGGCTGCCTATAAGTTCATCACGGGGGCACAGAAGGGAATTGGTGAGGTTTTATTCACCAAGGAGCCCCCGGGGGTTACAAGAAATAATGGCCACAAGCTAGCAGAGAGCAGATTTAGACTGGACATTAGGAAGAACTTCTTCACAGTTCGAGTGGCCAAGGTCTGGAACGGGCTCCCAAGGGAGGTGGTGCTCTCCCCTACCCTGGGGGTCTCAAAAAGAGGTTAGATAAGCATCTAGCTGGGGTCATCTAGCCTCAGCACTGTTTCCTGCCTATGCAGGGGGTCGGACTCGATGATTTATTGAGGTCCCTTCCGACCCTAACATCTATGAATCTATAACAGCCCGGCTATGCACTAAAATCAGCCCAATGTCTTGTGCACCTCTCCTGCTTACCTTACCTGAAGTGATGTGGGCTTCAAACGAAACTCATAAAGAGCAGCCCCTTGTCTGTCTGTTCAAGCTGAGGGATAGGAATGTGGCTAATGCTTGCATGGAGCAGACAAAGGATGGGGGAATTTTTTGATGTCTCCAACTGTTGGAGGATTCAGCAGCCTCTGTGCACTGAGTTGGTGGACTCGTCCCTAGCAGACTGGTACCCAAGGGGCAGTGTCGACAGTCTTAGCAGAGAGACCAGAAGTGAAACCATCCAGCTTTGAGTGCAGGTGCTTGAGCCCTGCCTCAGCTGAGCACTTGAATGGATGGTTAACTTCAAGCATGTGTTTGAAACTCTTGCTTAAGTCCCATTGACTTCAGTGGGATCCAGGCACATGACTTAGGATGCAACACCTGTGTCAATGTGGTGCCGAACTGAGACCCTGTTGGGGCTGCTTGGGAGATGAGCACATTGCTCTTGGCATTGCTAGGGTGATATGACCCCAGCACCCGTTCCTGCCCGGGACAGGGGGTCGGACCTGATGATCTGTTTAGGTCCCTACCACCCCTAAGCATGACGATACCATGATTGCTGCACTAGATAAGTATAGAAAGTGTCACCTGTCTCCATGGTGATTATCTTGATACCTTTTGCTAGTATTCAGTGGCTTATTGATTGGCTTTTAACTGAGAGCTTCTAACAGGGTGGAGGAAATACAGCCAGACAAAGTAAGTACTGCAGATCTGCTGTGTATCCAAGTGGCAATCTTAAGGCAGAGGGAGATGAAACGCTGTTTGGTTTAACACTAGTTGAGCTAACCAGCTTCCAGATGTGATTCCAGCTAGCTGGATCATAGAGGGCAGCAGTCAGAAAATGCATGAGAGGCACCAGGCAATGTTCAGGGCTCACTGTGGGGAGAGGGAAATTGGGAATAAAAGAGCATTAGGAACAGGAGCTCAACAGAGAAAGGCTGCGGATGAGACACCACAAAAAGGTGCGAAGGCTGGAAAAAAACTGTCTCAGACAAAAGATTGAGGGACGCTATGCTGATGTCTGTTTGACAAAGAGAAGAAGGCAACCTGGCATGAAGGGGAGCGAGTGAGAATGAATCCAGCACAATTGGTGCTGGCAGCATTTTAGGAGCCTGGCTGCGGGGGTTTTCGCAGTGCCAGCGCTCTTGCAAGGATGAGGGGTTGTGGCTACCAGGTTTCTGAGGTTCTTTCATGGCCTCGCAGACTGCGTGGTCTGCGGCATTTCATTTGGAAAGTTTTTTGGCTACAATTTGGTGGTGTGAAACACCAGGGTGAGGGTCTCCAGTGCAGAGGGGAGGGAGCAGTCTGGCTCTTTTGTGCACTAAGAGAGAGGTGGGATGCTGGCACCAGGGGAATCAGGACGATGCAGGAAGACAACTGCCTGAGTCGTTAGCAGCAGGACCTGAGTCTCTCTAGCTGAAGGCTACTGTGGCAAGCTGGAGTTTGATCTCTCAGGCTGGCCTGGTTTTCAGAGGTGCCGAGTGCCACCATTGGAAACTCAGGGGTGCGAGTGTGTTCGGAGACCCAGCAACAATGAATTTAAATCCTCATGATATCTGTTCTGGTATCTTGAAGCCATGCAATACATAGTGCAGACTCGCAATATTTGTATTGGTTTGCAAGCAGTCCTCAGACTTACGACACCATCGGTTCCTGAAAACCACATCTTAGGTCGAAACGCTGTAACTCGGAACTGATTTCCCATAGGAATAATGTTATAAATGGGGGATTGGTTCCTGGACCAAGGCCCAATACTCTATTTTCACCAAAAATACCCCAAAATTTTATACTCTATCAATTATAGATGAGTAATATAGCTACATAATGTATTTATATTGTAAATAGCAATCATATTGATTTGGAAGGACTTTTTTGAGGTGACTTTGCTGGACTTTTTGAAGGGCTCTTGGCTGGAGTCTTCTCATAGATTCATAGATTCATAGATGTTAGGGTCGGAAGGGACCTCAATAGATCATCAAGTCCGACCCCCTGCATAAGCAGGAAAGAGGGCTGGGTCTAGATGACCCCAGCTAGATACTCATCTAACCTCCTCTTGAAGACCTCCAGGGTAGGGGAGAGCACCACCTCCCTTGGCAGCCCGTTCCAGACCTTGGCCACTCGAACTGTGAAGAAGTTCTTCCTAATGTCCAATCTAAATCTGCTCTCTGCTAGCTTGTGGCCATTATTTCTTCTCAGGAGTCTTGGCTGCAGGTTTTTCTGGAGTCTTGTTTGCTTTTTTAAAGAAAGTGTCCAAGGAAGTTTGGACAGACATTCTCCAGGGAAATGGGTGACACGGCCAACTTGTTCGCTGGTGTGGCATGGCGTGGGATCAAGTGTTGTAAAGTCCAAACTGATGTCAGAAAGTTGAAACAGGGTGTTGATTTGCAAACGTTGTAAATGCCGTTCATTGTAACTCAAAATGCCGTATGTCTAGGACTGCTTGTCCATGAAATGAAAATGGCTTTGCATAGTTGCTGTTCACTCATTGCTGAGGTGTGCAAAGAATCAGGTTTTGTTTTAAACCCCTGCGCCCTGCTTTTCTTCAGAAGCAGCCTCTAGTTTTCAGTGCCTCTGAGTTTGCAGACCTGGCTCCTGCTCTGTGTGTCAGCACAGTCATGGACACCGTCAGCTGGAGAGCAGTGAGAACAGCTTTCCTCAACATTGTGCTATTAAGCACTGATGGGGATTCTGGATTCTCACTGGTGGTTGCCAAAGCACCCCTTGGGTAGCCACAAGCAGTGACATATATGTAGTAGCAAGGTTGACTCAGTCAGGCTGTTCTTCTTTGCTGTTGCAAGCCTGGGCACTGGCTGGTGGCAATGAAGTAAAGTCCAAGAAAATCCCTACCAAACGTTTGGGCAGTGTGTGTTTTCAGAAAGTTTATCAGTCTCATCAGCAAGACAAGGGTATCTGCTTCCCAGGAGGCAATGCCTGTCTCATCTGGACGCAGATACATTTAAAATCCTTCCCTGCTGCAGCAGGGATGTGCCACTTTGGCCTGCCTGCTTTTGGTCGCTACCAGAGCAGGGCAAGCATGCAGTGGGCCTTGCTGGGCAGCGAGGTGTACTACAGCAACCCAACCTGTTGGCATGGCATGGGGCCATCTGCAAAATCTGGGAGTTTTGTGCATAGGAGAAGGATGGTAAATGAATGATTTTTTTCACCGAAGGAATGGGGAAGGGCTCCTCAAGGATGGGGTTGGCATGAGTTGCTGGATGGAGTATCACACGTCCGTGTGACCGGATAAAGCAGACTTTACAGTGTGACGCCATTCAAAAAGCCCTGCTAGGACATGCAGAGCTTTTTTGCTGGAATCTCAGCTCTGTGTTGTTAAGCCTTTTCTCTTCTCTTTTCTCCCAGGGATGTCTTCCCACAAGGCCTGCCTGATGAATATGCCTTTGTAACGACCTTCAAATTCCGGAAAGCTTCCCGGAGAGAGGACTGGTATATTTGGCAGATTATCGACAAATACGGGATACCTCAGGTACGGGACTCTTTCCAGCGGTTCGGAGAAGATGTGTTGGACAAGCCAGAATTGTTGCTTTAGACTCCCGCTATCTCTTCAGAAAGGATTAATAACAATCCCTTTGGGTTGCCCATTGCTCAGGTCACTCTGCAGTGCACTTTGAATTGGAAATGGCCCCTGGTTTACATTGGCCCATGGTGGTTATCTGTCTGCAGGGAGGTGTGCCAAGCTAGCAAAATCCCTGTGAACAAGTCCCCATTCCTAAAAAACTTTGGATTTGAACTCCAAATTTTGAAGTTTTTCAGCCAGTGCTGTTTAAGAAAAGTTACTGCTTGTGTTGAATGGGGGAAGGTGGTCTCTGTAATTACAGCACAGGACTAGCACTCAGGACAGGTGGCTTCTACCCCTGGCTCTACCATATGCTTCTTGCTTGACCCTGGAGATGTCAAGCAGTGTTTCTCTGCCTCCGCTTTGCTATTTATGAAGTGGGATTAGCAATGCTTTCTTTTCCAACCTGGGTTTTTTTAAATGTAATTCATTGACATCTGAAGCACTTCGAGATCCTCAGATAGAAAGCATGATAGCCTTATCTGTTCCTGGGTAGGACTTTTACCACCAGGCCACAGGAATTGTCTTTGCCCAGCATACGCACATTGTTTTCTTATGGTAGAATAACTCACGAGTCCATTTTCTCTTGGGCTGAGCTGAAAAATCGAGCCTGTTAGATCTGGAAAGCAAAAAGCAACAGAGATCATGAGCATTATTTTCAAAAGCGCTGCAGTACTATTCCCAGAGGTGACTACAGGCCTCATTCAAAGTCGGTAGAACTCAGTCTCCCAAAGATATATGGGCCCGATCAGGCTGATGTGGTGCATGCCTCCATTGAAGCTTCAACCCACTTAAAAAAAATAAGTGCCTTTTCCTAGGGAGGTGATTGAAAGATATGGGGGGTAGACAGCTGGCTTCCTGGGGCAGCAAATGAAAGAGATATGCCTGTCCTCCAAATGCCAGTCCTGAGCACCTCGGTGCTAAGATGCCTACCGCTAAACGACTGGAAACATAAAGTGGTGTTTGAACACCTTTTTAACCCCAGGACCAGATGCCTGACTCGGGACGGCCCATTAGATGCCTCCTTCCGTTCCACCTAGGTTCTGGTTTGTCATGTGGGTTTACCAATTTGGATGTCTTTTTTCAAAAGGAATTGAGGGTCCTAAATTACTGAGATGCTTCTGAAAAGGTTAACTCATATCTGCTTGCTCCTAAATCCCATAGTTTGCTCTGCACGCTGCTTATTCCACCCTCCAAAAACAGATCGAAATCTATGGCGGTTGGGTCTTAGCAATGGAGGGAATGAGATTGGGTGGCGATTACAATGAACCAGTAGAGTTCACATTTGATGGGTGATAAGGGTAAAGTAGAGGGTTAAATTGGACTTTTTTTCTCTTGCTTGAAAACATCATTGGTTTGATCCCAGGCACTCAGTGCTCCAGGCTTTTTGTTACTCTTGGGTCACAAGAGTAGGTGACTTATACCAGGTGTCATGTAATGGCTTTCAGCCTTTCTGTATCTCTCTGCCTTGTCCTTCCTCCGTCTCATTTAATATCTCATCTGAATGTATATCCCCCAGCCCCCTGCTTGTATCTCTGTCCTTCCTCCTCTACTGTCATTAACTGAATGACTCCATCAATCACTTTGAGATATGGCGTAGATGAAAGGACGACTGTTGAAAGAACAAAGTTTTGTTTGCATGTGCAGGGCTATTTCTGTTGGTTCTCAGGTTTCTATCCGGCTGGATGGGGACAACAAAGCTGTGGAGTACAGTGCCATAGGGCTGACCAAGGATGCCGTGAGAGTGGTCTTTCGAAGCGCCCGAGTCAGCGACCTGTTTGACCGCAACTGGCATAAGATCGCCCTCAGCATCCAGTCCAAGAGCGTCTCCCTCTACATAGACTGCAAGCTGGTGCAGACGCTCCCTATTGAAGACAGAGAAAATATTGACATTCAGGGAAAGACTGTGATTGGCAAACGGCTTTATGACAGCGTACCCATCGATGTAAGTCCTGAGTAAGGAGATCGAGACCTGGGGACGCGGTTCTCTGGCCAGCTGTAAAAGGCAGGAAGATGGGTTATGCCATTTCCTTATTCCATGCCACTTACTGAATCCCTGCCTAGGATGGGAATGACCAGCATCCCATCCAGTGCCGGGGGGGGGGGTTGAAGCATGTACTAAGGGGTTAAAAACAGGAACTTCTTTTCATCCTTCTGGACAGTTGTAGTTTGTCTTTGTCGAAGTCCAGTGCAAACTCACTGGTACTGATCACCCTGAAATGTCACTCGATCTATATAGTACCTAACTAGGTATTGAAAAAAAAAAATGTTGGCTCCATCTGGCTTTATATGGCATTCATGTATAGTAGTTAGCAATAGAAAATCCTATATATCATTGAGTTCACCCCTGGAAAGGCAGGGAATAGATCCCACTTTACAGGCTATTGAATCTAATAGGAGTTAAATTAGTTCTATACTTGATCTTAGCGAATGGGTGTAGGTAGGTCTATCAAGCGTGATTCCTGAATGTAAGGGGACTGATTTCCCATTGTTTTGTGATTCCTGTGGTTTTTCCTCACAGAACAACAAGAACAAAAAATCAACACCTTCATGTCCTAATGAAACCAGAGTAAAGTTTTCAGGAGTAGAGGGCATATTATTTAACTTGGTCTAATAAAAGATACCAGATTCACCCAGAGAGCCTTGTCTGCCTATTTCCTTATAGAAATTTGTCTGGGACACAGAGGTTAATACAACTCTTCACTCTTGTAAGCTGTTGTAAAGGATCTTTAATGAGTCCAGATCATCAAAATCTTATTAATTTGTACCTCTTATACCATGCCAACTTATTATTTGCTCATAGAGAGAGGAATAAGTAGCGTAGAATCCCTAGAGCCATTATAGATCTAGCCCCTTATTTTATTCCTTGTATCAGAGCACTAGGACAACTTATCATCAATAATTCACAGTCCTTGGGCTTATTGTTGTATTTTGTTTTCTAGTTTGATCTACAGCGCATGGTGATTTACTGTGATTCTCGACATGCTGAGTTGGAAACCTGCTGTGACATTCCCTCTGGACCAGTGAGTTGGCTTTGGTTTTTTTGTTGGTGTTGCTCCTTTAACACACACACAGTCTCCCTCTCTCTTAGTTGCATTTTTTTATTCCAATAAGGGGATGCACCAGTGTAAGTTTATGATTTTATAATGACAGCAAATCAAACGGAAACTGTACCAGTCCCATAACATAGGGAAGAGTTCATCATAAATGAAGAAGAACAAAAAAGAGGAGAAAGAAGTATAAAAAATTAAGTCTCCTAGTCCCTGTCTGTTCTCTGTCGAGCTGTCATGGGGAAACAGAAAACGCTGAAGTGTCCAAGTGCTGAGCGCAGAATAAGAACTCAAAATAAAAATATTCAACGTTTCCTACTGCTGCTATAGGGGAAGAGCTAGAGCAGCAGAAGTTGCTAGTTAGTCTCAGTTCAGTTCCCCATTGACAGATGTCTGCATTGCAAAAAGAAAAAAAGGTGGGGAAGTTTTCAGAGCTTCTTGCTGCTATAGCCGCTGTTTGGATGAACAGGATTTCGGCATCAAATCAGGTACTATTCAGTTAGTTAAAAAAAATAACGTTACTAGGAAAGACAATAAAAATCTGTTGAACCTTTTGACCCCCATGACACTCAGCTACGTGCCCAAAAAAATGCCAGTTTGGCTTCTGAAAAGTGGGCAAAAGGCAAATGCACTTTCTAAGGCAAAGACCTGATAATAACATGTGCTCTTTGGATTCAGTGCCAGGTGATGGTTATTACGGAGGCACCACCCCGTGAAGTCAGACCCACTGTTGGCAGCGAACAAATTGGTCACATAAAGACCCTCAACTGTTCTTGTCCTGCTGGTGAGAAGGTGAGTGTTGGGGCACTCTCCATTGGGAACGTCTGCTGCTTTTTGGTTTGAGTAGTATGGTCAGTAGAGGACGGGGTGCTGTCAAACACTTGGTGTTTATCTGCAGTGCCAGACAGGATACAAGTGTAGATTGATGGCGTCAAGTAAGAGTGGTCCAGTGATATGAGCACTGGAAGTGTGCAGCTCCCTCTTCCACCACGAAGTACTTGTGTGGCACTGGGCAGTCTAGAGCCTCTCTGTTCTGCATTTCCCCATCGATGACATTGGGGTAATTTTTCCCCTCTACCTAACAGGGGCATGAAGAGGATACATCTTTTACAGATTATATAAAACTTTGACACCTACTGATAAAAGCTTGGTGCTTGTTAATTGTTCATCAATTGTGTTGGTTGGGACAAAGAGTGGTCTCTTCGCCGGTGTTTATCGGTACCCTTATCCTGATTGTGGCTGCTGCATATCAATGTAGAAAATAAAGCTGCTGTTTTTACTACCCCCTTGAAGTCTGGGTTTCAGAGAGCAGGGATAGGGAAGGTTTTGGGGGCAAATGTCATCTGTAATGGGAAAAAAAAAATCCCCTCGGATCCAGTGGAGCGGCGCTTGCTCATGTCATCTCTGACAAAAGGTGCCTTCAAGGGGTTAGCACAGTTGCAGTCTTTTTAGTTCTTGCTGTTCTTGTATTAATGTGCCATTGCTCAAGCCTTGAGAGCATGTCGTTTATAATGTATTGCCCCCTGAAATCAGTGGGGCTCTTTCCATGAAGCTTGATGGATGTTGGATTGGGCCACTCACTGTTCTGACGTAATGAGATGTGCCGTCTCCTAAAGCCCTTCTTTTCTCCTTAGGGTGAGAGGGGTCCACTTGGCCCCGAAGGTCCTCAAGGTCAAAAGGTTAGTACTGCATTTTTCAATTTGTCTATTAACAAATAGCTGATGTGCTGGGTAATTCTCCACCACCTGATGAGTTTGATGACCAAAAGCTAATTGATGTCATGGCAAACTAGAGGAGGATGCAGTTGAGTCTGGACTAGGGTATGGCAGAGTGTAGTAGTTACATTGGGTCCTTTCACCTCATTACGGCATTTGTAGAGAGCATGCAGAACTACTAAAAGGTTTTTTCCATGTGAGTTTTCCACGTACCTGGTGTTACGGGTGAGGTCTGGATGAGGCTTTTCCAGGAACGCTCTGCAGTATCTACAATGCACCTTGGGTGATGTTATTACTGACGCTTTTCTAGGAACGCTGTGCAATATCTGCAATGCACCTTGGGTGATGTTATTACCGTTAGTCACGTTCCATGAACTTTATGAGAATGGGGTTAGGGAAATGGAGCACTGTAATCCATTTTCCTTGGCAAGACCATTTGAGTCATCGTAGGATGTTAAATTTAGGTCACACTTTTAGCAAAGAGTTCCTCTGAAAATGCGCACAGCACCTCAAGTCTGTCTGTTCTTTAGCTTTGCAATGTGAGCTGTACATTAGCTTGCGCTCTACCTGGGCCTTTTCCCCACAGTCTTCTGCAGAGCTCATCTCTGCTTTCCACCGATGCATCTAAATCTGACTCGGTTGGATGTCCCTTAGTCGTGTGACGTTCAACTTTGCACCTTTGAATTATGATTCAGGCTGTGTGTAAAATTGATTTCCCTATTTGATTGTTAAGCTGAAACACCAGAGGGAGGAGACGTCAGAAATGACGGTTGAAGTGCAAATCTCTGTTCAGAAAAGAGAGCAGCGAGGCAGTCATTTATGCTTTGTGGCTTGAAAGATCCTGGCTTTTTGGAGGCGCTTGCTGAAGCACCCTGAGAAAAATGTTTCTGGGTGTGCAAAGAAATGCCGTGCGTGTGTGTGTGGGGTGGGGGGGTATATTTTCTGTTCGAGTAAATGAACATGGGCCTGTTAACTTTGAGCTATACTCAGTGAAGTTGGCAGCAAATTCCTCCCTTTGTTTCTTTGTGGCTATAAATAGCAGCTCCCTCTCTTAATGGGTGACAGTTTAAGTAATGATGGGCTATTTTGCAGCATGCCAGAACCGTGTGGAATTGTTCCAAGAAGGACACAAAAGCCGGACAGTGATTTAAAACACAAAGCTCGTGTTGCTTTACCCATCGGCAAGCTGTGTATGTTTGGGGGACATGCCATCTACACTGTGCAGTGCAGCCCAGTGTGGAGATACCTGAGCTCAGTTGGGTAGTAGCAGCAGTGTGTAAAGAGGGAATTGCACAGTGTTACACATACCTTGCTCTAACTAGCACTAGTTCACTTCACTTCCCAAGTGACCAAAACAATGAGTCTGTGGATGAATGATTGACTTGAAATGCTTTTGCACCGATGCATGGGAAACCATCCCTTGGCTTCCCACGACACGTACAAGCCAAGGCAGGTTGGTGTCACAGAGGTCCAGCGAGCCGAGTCCATGCCCAGTTGTGGACTCGGTTTCAATCAAAGCTCTGCTGATGGCTTGGTTTGCAGAACGTGGCAAACCATTTGATCTCTCTGTGTGTCAGCTTCTCCAGGTGCCAAACAGGGCAAAGCAGGCTTTGTCCTTGCTGGGAGGAAGACATGGATGCAGAGCCTTTAACGATGTCCATGTGCCATGAATATTGAGAGCTTGACTTGCTACCATAAGAGGTGTAACGAGCAGTTTTTGTACCCTGGGCAGGATGGGGAAAGGGTAGTGGGTGGGATGACAAGGGGAACAGAGGGTGGGACAAGTGCTGTCTTACCTGCCGTTGCTGCCAGGGCTGGCTTGCTGCAGACCGGACCTGGGACCAGACCTGGGGGTGGGGAGGGGTCTCTGTTTTCTTCTGGTTTCTGAACCTTTAGGGTCCACTTGAGTTGCATGTTAAAATTTTTCTCTGCAACCATGAGGATTAAACCGTGACTTTTTCAACAGCAGCACCACCTGAATCCAGGAGCTGGGGCACTCAGAAACAAGTGGGAAGGATCACAGTGCTCCTGATACAGTCAAGAAAGCTGGCAGTACTGCAAGCAGGTGGGCGGAGGG